TCGCTTACTCTTCATAAATGTAGTTTCAACAGGTTTACCTTCACGTGCAGTGTTTCCAACGATTTGTTTCAACGGTTCGATAATAGGTTTTAATTGTTTCTCCAGAACGATCTCCTTCTCCATTATACCAGTCTTCAATGCTCTGTGTTTCTTACGAATCGACGCGCGTGTCTTCGCGATCAATTTCGCCGTTCTCTCCCGTTCGGAGAGTCTTTTCGTTCCAACCATGTTATCGTAAAACGGTAAAGAAGTACTGCTCACTAGTTTTTTTTCACAAAACACACTACAGATGATTTTTTCACACTACTGCGAAATCGTTGAATCCTCGTCTGTATCTACCGTTGCGTAATGCGCTATCTTTGTCTATTACCACAAAACCGTATTTGCGTTGCCAACATAAATGGCACAACGTGCAAAAATTCTCATAAATCAGTGTTTACGTGATCGTTATAAATGTGTTTCAAATTGGTACCATCCTGTTTGAATAGTATTAAAAAATTTGCATTATCACGTATCAGATGTTTCGGTATTTTTGCATACGTCTGACAGAGATAAAAACAATCGATGTTCGTATGTCGACCCATAGAAAAATATTCTCTAATAGTACTCTGATTATCACAGGCCACATCGAATACAAATATTGAATTGGGAAGTGCCTCCTTCGGTGGTATGACGTCACGATTGTTGGAAAATGCGTAGTAACCGATACCATTTATCGATTCGAGCAGTTCTTCCAAATATTGATATTTCGGTTGAAAGAGAGATTTCGAATACACGTACACGTTTTCGAAACGTACACCGTGTGGACTTTCTATCAAACTTATCAAAGCGTTCGTTTTCCCACAGTTGGACGGTCCACAGATGATGCAACGAATTGTATTCGGTAGTAGAAGGACGTGTCTACGAATCTCTCCATCGGACATGAGTCGCGTCTTACGGTCGTGATTCGACACTCAAATCGTTCGTGATTGTCGTACGAATCGCATTTATTCATGTAACGCGCGTGCGCAATGTAGCGCGAGCGAGTTTTTCAACACTATTTATATCCCTGAGCAAGCGCGCTCGATTCACACAGTTTACTGTAAAAAGCGGATCGTTGTTGTTATCGCAAAAA